TTGGGGGGGGGGGTCATATGCTTTATACGCAAAGCCTATTGAGATGTGTGACAGTTTCTTTTTTTTTAAATCAAATTTCGCTCCATAACTGTGCTGGGCTTGCAGCCAGGGCTGTAGTTTTTGACTAGATGCCGGAGCCCATTCTGTGTAAGGTACAGCGTGGGTTTACTGTTAGCTGTATGAGCAAAACCGCAGCTTCGTCAAGTGAAGCAGAGGTGCCATCCAACAGCTATAATAACCAGACGTAAGTTAGAACCACAGGAGTATTTATAGGAGAAGGTATAACAGTGACATGGATTTAACAGATAACTCGCGTTCTCTGTGCTCTGTCCCGAGCCCTGACTTGTATTCTAAAAATATTCACCAAGTCACCTCTCCCGAATTATGAATCATAACTTCAAAACTGAACAGTTAGTCACAGTGCCTGTTAATGAGGTCATGCGAGACTCCGAATCTATGCAGACCCCGTGCCAGGAGCTTGCCCAAGCTCGAGAGAGGTGGAGAAAGGCCCTGGGCGGCCAGAGGCGGGCCGGCGTGAGCCTGTGCTTGGCCGGCTCTCACTTTCCCTCTGCAAGACCCCTCGCGGGAGAGCACAGAGGTTTCTATAAGCTAAAGAAAAGCCAGGGAATTCAAGGCGTGAAAGTTTGAACGTAAGTTAGAACCACAGGAGTATTTATAGGAGAAGGTATAATAGTGACATGGATTTAACAGATAACTCGCCCTAAATCCCCTAAACCCCCCTAACAACCTGCCTGGTGGAAGGGACACTTCCCCGGACGCCCCTTCCCTCCCCGCTGCCCAGCCCCGAATATTCTAGAAGGTGCTCTCGAGTGGAATCCCCTCTCCCCTCGGCAGGAGCAGGGTGCTTCCCATAGGTCCGCCCGGGTCCTCTGTGGGCCCATCTCCTCCCTGCATCACTCACCTGTGTGGAGGGCACTGCGCCCTGGCACCCTGCTCGGCCAGAGACACTGAAAGTCTTTCAGGTTCTGACTGTCCGTCTGGTCTCTCTCTCTCTGGCTGGAAGCCCGAGAGGCTGCCATGGACACCCAGCACCCCCCCCCCCCCC